AAAATTTTCCCAACTTAGCAAAGCAGGACACTATTCAACCCCAGGCAATACAGAGAACACCACAAAGATATTCCTCAAGAAGACCAACCCCAAGGCACATAATCGTTAGATTCACCAGGGTCGAAACGAAGGAGAAAATATTAAGGGCAGCCAGAGGGAAAGATCAGGTTACCCATAAAGGGAAGCCTATCAGGCTTACAGCAGATCTCTCAGCAGAAACCCTACAAGCTAGAAGAGAGTGGGGGCCAATATTCAATATACTTAAAGAACAGAACTTTCAGCCCAGAATTTCATATCCTGCCAATTTAAGCTTTACAATTGAAGGAAAAATAAAATCTTTTAGGAACAAGCAAGTACTTAGAGATTTTACTACCACCAGGCCTGCTTTACAAGAACTTCTAAAAGAAGTATTATGAATAGAAAGGAACAACCAGTATGAGCCTTTCTAAAAATACACCAAAAAGTAAAGAACATTAACATAAAGAAGAATTTACATCAACTAAAGGATAAAATAGCCAGTTAATATCAAATGGCAGTAACCCTAAATTTAAATTGACTAAATCCCCCAATCAAAAGATACAGACAAAATCTAACGGTATATCTAAAGATATACAAAGACTCAAAGGGTTAGAAAAAAACTTACCAACCAAATGGAGAGCAAAAATAAATAAATAAAAAGCAGGAGTTGCAATTCTCACAATTAATAAAATAGATTTCAAAGCTACAAGGATACAAGGGTAAAAGGATTAATGTAATAATAAGAGATCTTAACACCCAGATACATAAGACTCATAATGAGATTTAGATTCAACGAGACAGAAAATTGATAACGACATCCAGGATTTGAACTCAGAACCAGAACAAATAAACTCAATAGAGCTCTCCATTTTAAACACACAAAATATACATTATCCACTTTAAACACACAAAATATTGATCGGCCATTATTGATACCCATTTTAGGAATGAACTAATATTTCTTTTTCCCTCTTTTTCTCTTTTTCCCTTTTTTCCTCTTTTTCCCTCTTTTTCTTTCTCTTTCTCCCTAAAAAAAAATTAAAAGAAAAAAAGAGATAAAAATAAATAAATAAAAATTTAAAAGTCCAGGCACAGTAGCTCATGTCTATATTCCCAGCACTTTGGGAGGTCGAGGCAGGCAGATCACCTGAGATCAGGAGTTTTAGACCAGCCTGACAACATGGAGAAACCCCGTCTCTACTAAAAATACGAAATTAGTTGGGTGTGGTGGAGCATGCCTGTAATCCCAGCTATTCGGGAGGCTGAGGCAGGAGAACCACTTGAACCCAGGAGATGGAGGTTACAGTGGGCCATGGTGGCACCAGTGCACTCCAGCATAGGCAACAGAGCAAGACTCTGTCTCAATAAAAAGAGAAAAGAAGAAGAAGAAAGAAGAAGAAGAAAGGAGACTTGGGTAACAGGGTGATTTAAGTGTTATTAAGTAAAGCCTAAAAATCTGAGGAGTGAGAGTCAAGGTACCTGAATGTTCATCAGAAACAGCTGATTTGGTGAGTGTCATCAGAATGAAGATGGCGTCTGCCTCTCATTTCTGCAGCGGCCGCACCTAACAGCACCTGGTCAGTAGGTACTCAATACCTAATACTGCAATGAACAGAGTAAAATTTTGCCAGTTCAGTATTTTCATACCCACCAACTTCCCTCGTGGAATGTTACTTCTTTTGCTTACTATAATGTTTTTGAAGTTCATCCCTACCTAGTTTTTCCTTTGTATAACTGAGCAGCACTCAGGTACGGTTATACCACCTGGGTCTATCCATTCTCCAGCTGATAGACACTTGGGTTGTTTCCACTTGTTGGCTGTAGTGAATGAGACTGCTGGGAACATTTATGTAAATGTCTTTTTTTTTTTTTTTATGAGACCAAATCTTGTTCTGTCGCCCAGGCTGGAGTGCAGTGGCGCGATCTCGGCTCACTGCAACCTCTGCCTCTAGGGTTCAAGTGATTCACCTGCCTCAGCCTCCTGAGTAGCTGGGATGCAGGGGCCCGCCACCACATCCGGCTTTTTTACATAAATATATTTTGTAGAGACAGAGTTTCCCCGTGTTGGCCAGGCTGATCTGGAACTCCTGACCTCAAGTGATCCGCCTGCCTTGGCCTCCTAAAGTGCTGGGATTACAGGTGTGAGCCACCTCACCCAGCTGGGGACAAGTTTTTTGCTGTTTTGTTTTTTTTGAGACCGAATCTCACTGTCGCCCAGGCTGGAGTGCAGTGGCGCCATCTTGGCTCGTTGCAACCTCTGCCTCCCAGGTTGTTCAAGTGATTCTCTTGCTTCAGCCTCCCGAGTAGCAAGAACTACATGCGTGCGCCACCACGACTGACTAATTTTTTGTATTTTAGTAGAGACGGAATTTCACCGTGTTAGCCAGGATGGTCTCGATCTCCTGACCTCATGATCCACCCTCCTCCACCCTGCAACGTGCTGGGATTACATGTGTGAGCCACTGTGACCGGCCTACACGTCTTTTTTGAACACATGCTTTTATTTCTTCTGGATAAATTTCTAGGGCTGGGATTCCTAGGTCAAATGGCTACTTTATGCTGCTTAAGTTCTTTTTTTGACCTTTCTTATTAATAGAAAATATTATACTGATACATAATATTGGACCTACCTACGAGGTACATGTAATGTTTGGTTCAGCGCATGTCATCAAGTCAGGGTATCTGGGGTGTGGCCTTGAGTATTCACCATTTCTATGTGTTGAGTATATTTCAAGTCCTCTCTTGTAGCTATTTTGAAACATACTTAGGGAGGCCAAGGCCAGGAGGAAGCCAGGAAGGAAATATACATGAGAGGCCTGGAAGAGGCTCAGGACACTTGTGAAAGACAGGCTCTCAGCTCCTCAGGAACCAGTGCAAATACATTGTTGCTAACTACAGCCACTCTACTCTGCTATCCAACATTAGAACACATTCGCTGAATCTGTGCGCATTCATTGACCAGCCGCTGTGCGTTCCCTTCTCATACTTTGAGAAGGAGAGAGGAAGGAGGGAAAGAAGCTGTGGTCGGCTGAGTTAGGATCTCCAGGGGTGCCTGCGTTGCAGTCCCAGGACCTGTCCATGTGCTGTGTTGTGTGGCCCCAGGGACTTTGTGGATGTGACGGTGTTAAGGAGCCCGGGGTGGAAGATGATCCTGGGTTATCTGCATGGGTCCAAGGCGGGGTTTTCATAAGGGAAAGAGGGAGGTAGGGGGGTCAGAGTGAGAGAAGGGTGGAGGGAAAGAAAGGGAGAGGAGGGAGGATGAGAGAAGACAGTGGGGACGGGAGAGAGAGTGGGAGAGAGATTTGAAGATGCTGCTCTGGCACTGAAGGTGGAGGAAGGGGCGGGAAGCCCAGGGCCTCCTCTAGAAGCTGAAAACATCCTGGAAGTGGATTTTCGCCAGAGCCCTCAGAAGGAGGCCACCCCTGCTGGCGCCCTGACTTTAGCACTTTAGGGTTCATTTTGGACTTCTGACCTTCAGACCTGGGAGAGAATCTGTGTGATGTTTTAAGCCACTAACTTAGGGGTGATTTGTGACAGCAGCCACCGGAAAGTCAAGCAGGAGCCGTGGGAGAGACTCCCCAAAATGCCTGGAGGACCCCTCCCTGGCTCCACCCACGAAGACACAGGCCTGACCACTGCTGGTTCCCCCCCAACCCCCTGCTGAGCAGGAACCATGCAGGAGGGGCTGGGCTGTGTTCTCTCCCCGACACCTTTCTCTCATGGAGCAGCTGGAGCCCTAGACCCAGGGAGCCTCACAGAGAAAGTCTCAATGCAGGACCTGGTTTTCCACCTGAGGCCCAGGATCCAATGGAGAAGTGTTTCCCAAAAAGGATGCTTCCCCCAGGGAACAACACTCACAGCTGGGCTAGGTGGGAGGGGAGGGGAGGGACGGGATGGGACATCAGGGTTGGGGGGCGGATAGGATGGGGAGGGATAACACCAGGAGAAATGCCTGATGTAGGGGCCAGTGGAGGGGATGGAGACAGCAAACCACCATGGCATGTATGTACCTATGCAGTAATCCTGCAGGATGCAGGATGTGCACATGTACCCCAGAGCCCAAAGTACAATTAAAAAAAAAAAAAGGACGCTTCCTCCAAAGAAAAGATGGCCAGTGACAGTGACATTCTGTGCCAAGCATCTGAGAAAATCTCCATGTCCTAGGGCTGCCAGGCAGATACCTGTGCGCATGTTGGAGCCCAAATCCCATCGATAGTGAGGCCTTGGGTAAAACACATCCCCACTTTTAATTACGATGAGATGCCTGGCCTCAGCCCTCAGCATGGAGAACACCAACTTCCCTTGAGAAAAGACTTGTTTAACCGCTTAGAAATGATGGAGCGCCTATTACCCTTCTTGCACTGGTTCCTGGGTAGCTCAGAGCCTATCTTTTTCACAAGTGTCGTGAGCCTCTTGTAGGCCTTTTATGTATGTTTCCTTCCTGGCTTCTTCCTATTTTTCCTCACTCCTCTGAACCTGCTGTCAGATGAAAAATCAAGGTGGGCCCAGAATTTAAGAGCATATGAATCTGATGGTGTTTGGAGTGTCCTGGACAGTCTAGCTCTCAGTGGTGGGGAGGTGGGCAGAAAGGAAGGAGAACATTCCAGGGGCCAGGGCCAGAAGCAGGGGGCTTCAGGCCTAGAGTAGGATTTCTAGGCTGAGGAAAGGGAGGCCGTGGGTGGGTAGAGGGTCCAGAGGGCGTATCTGGAGGCTCAAACAGAAATAGCTCCCTCCAGAAAGCAGGCAGCGAGTTGGGGGTTGAGCTGCAAAGAGGGAGGGGAGGAGGGAGAGAATGGAGGGACTGGTGTTGAGTGAGCAGACTCCTATCCTGGCCTATTTCCCCAGGAGACACCACTTGGAGGCTGTGATCCTCTCCCCCAGGCTACTTTCCCACTGGTGCCAGGATGCCCCCAACTCCACACTGAGAATCCGGGAGAAGCATCAAATTATATGAGAGATAAGAAATGCAGGAGAGAGCAGGCTTTCTGGTGGACAAAGAGAACATTTATTGAGGGTTTACTGGGTACAGGAAGAAGCGTGGATGGCTTGGGATGCAGGGAGAGACCCCTTCCCTGGGAACCTGCAGCTCCACGCCCCTGTGGGTGGGGTGAGGGTTAGGGGCCTAAGGACATCCTGCAGTGGCCACTGTCTTCTCCACGGTGCACCCCTCGTGTATAACGTGGCAGCTGTAGCTGCTGCGGGACCTCCACTGCTCGGGCGTCAGGCTCAGGTAGCTGCTGGCCGCATACCTGTTGTTGCTCTGTTTGGAGGGCGTGGTGGTCTCCACACCCTGGGTGATGGGGGTGCCATCTGCCTTCCAGATCACCGTCAAGATTCCTGGATAGAAGTCATTCATGAGACACACCAGTGTGGCCTTGTTGGCTTGGAGCTCCTCAGAGGAGGGCGGGAACAGAGTGACCCAGGGGGTGGCCTTGGGCTGACCTGTGTGGACAGAGTTGAGGGAGAGAGGGCAGAGGGAGTGTGGGGCGTCATGGAGCACGTCTCTCCATCTGAAGTCTCTGGGAGGGTTCACGGTGGGGCCGTCGGGTCCACCCTGGGCCTCTCCTTCCCTCCTGAACCCCCTCCTTTCCACTGGAGCCCTCTGGAGAGCAGACAGCCCTGACCCTTCCTAGGAGCCCTTCCCAAGTCACCTTTCCCTTGTGCCCTGGCCCAGCCCTTCCTCTGCAGCCTTGGCTTCCCCATGTGTACTCAGGGCAGGCTGCTCCCTCCTTCCTGGTTTCTGGAGTCTGAGTTTGGAATCTAGGGGTCCCCCCCACAGCACAGAAAACCATTTGTCAGGGTGGGGGGGGGGCCCAGCCTGGCATGGCCAGGAGCTTCCCGTCCCCTGGGACACCAGGCTGTGTTCCAGCTTGGCCTACTCAGCTCTGCTGGTGAAGCGTGGGCTCCACACACACAGGCCCTGGGGCTCTGCCGTCTCCCCTGTGCCCCCCAGCCCAACCACAGGACCCTTCACATTGGCTGTGTTCTTGAGGCTGCTCCCCCAGACTTTGGGACACTGCAGCCTCCATGCCCACCCCAGCAGCTTCTGATGTCCCTGGACTTCACCTGGAGGCTGTGGAGTTCTCTGCACCCCGTTTACTCCCCCTAGTTCCCTCCTGGTTCTAAGGTGCCCTTCCTCAAATGAAGGTGGGAGGCCGACCCGTGAACAGAGAAACTCCGGGCCCCCCGGGTGACGGGGCTCCAGAGACAGACACATCTCTGCCCTAAGAGACCCTCTCATTTCTGGTGGCTGTCCTAGGAGGGCTGGGCTCTGGGACCTCACCCAGTCTCATCCATCCCTATGTGTCCCTGTGTCCTCATAACCCAGCACAGGCCAGAGAGCTGCAACCTAGACCCAGAGCCGTCTCTGTGCCCTCCATTGGTCTCCCCTTGGGGTGACCTCTGTGTCCCCAGACCCCTGTGTGGCCTTCACAGGCTGGATGGGCATCCAGCCCTTAGCCTAGACCCTGGGGTCCCAGGGACTGTCTCTAAGGCCACTGCAGGGCCCTTATTAGAACCGGCCTCTGTCCCTTAATCAGACATCTGGCCTGGAAGAGGGGAGGAGCCTGACCCTGCCTAATCCCAGCCCAGGCCCCGCGTCCAGGCTGCATCCAGCTGTTGGAAACCTGAAGGTGTCTGCTCCCACTGTGGGGCCCTTCCCGCCAGTTACCCTGAGACTAGCCTACTTCCCCCAGACCACATGGAGAAAGGAAGGGTTCAGTGCTTAAGGCTGGGAGGGCAGAGGGGAAGAAGCCCCAGAGAGAGAACACAGATTTTCCAGAGACAGGAGAAGTGGGGACAGGCTGGGGAAGGTTGTGGATGCCACTCACCTAAAACGCTGAGCTGGGTCCCGCTGCCAAACACATGCCTCAGTGAATTCTGCCTGGATTGAACATCCCGAGGCCAACACCTGGGGCCAGCCCAGGAGCCATGCTGGAGCAGGAACCTGCTGGGTGTGAGGGGCACAGGGCTGCCGTGTGCAGGCTGTGACCTGGGCACAGGGCAGGGGGTGGCCAGCCTCCCAGTGGTGTCTCTGTGCCTGTCCCCTGTCTGAGGCAGGTGCTGCCCACAGCCTTGGGGTCATCCTAGTGTATGTTCCCTTCTCTGAAGCTGTTGGTGCTGATGGCAACACTGGGCCCGGTAGCTTCCAGCAACTCCCTGAGTGACACATCCCCTCAGACAGCTGTGTGGTGTGGCTGAGGAGACCTGAACTGGCTCGGAACTGCCCAACCTCACTTGGCCTCATTTTAAGGGACTCTGAAATTCACCATAAGTGTCGCCAGTCAAGCCAGGCTGACTTCCTCCCTGGACCAGGACACTGGGTCATTCCTGACTCAGGAGGAGAGTCCCGTGGAGATGCAGCTCAGTCTCACTTTGTTCGTGAACCCTTTCCAATCTCTCAGATCATTCACTCTGTCTGTCCATCCATCCATCTGTCCATCTATTCATCTGTCTTTGCATCCATCTATCATCTGTCCATCCATCCATTCATCTGTCCATCTATGCATCTAGACATCTATCTTTGCATCCATCTATCATCTGTTTATCCATCCATCCGTCTGTCTGTCCATCACAAATCCATCCTGTCTGCCAGGCACTGTTTTGTGTGCTGGGAACATGGTATGGTCCCCCAGGCTCTCACACTCATCTCTCCCACATCTTGGCCAACAAGGCCCTCCTCATGGTCATGTCCAAGGTCCTTCTGCTGTACCTGTGTCTCTGCTGGATGTGACATGGGGCTGGCCCCTCTTTCCAGTGACTCTCTTTCCAGTGACCCATTGGGGGAAAAGACTCCCCTTTCCTCCTCCCCTGGCATCCATTTCTCCATGGCCCATGCCTGGCTGCTGACTCCCCAGACCCCCCCCCAACCTCTTTCTTGGCTATCTTCACACTCTGTGGACCCTACTACTGCCCACGTGGTATGGCTGGAGCCTATCCCAGCTCCAAACCGTCTCAGCTCCACCTCAGTTGCCTGCTGACCATGCCCAGTGGGCTACCCAACAGGAGTCTCAAACTATTCCCTCCAGAGGAAATGATCACCTTCCCCAGCCCAGCTCGTTTTCCGTCTTCGTCTTATCACCGTGACCATGGGCGCTCTCAATCCCTCAGCCAGAAACCTGGAGTCACTGGACTCAGTCACCTCGCATCCAACACTGAAATGGCTTCTGTGTACTTCATTCTTAGACACTACATCTAGACATTCCTTTTCTTGGAGACAGTCTTGGCCTGTCACCCAGGCTGGCACGATCTCGGTACACTGCAACCTCTGCCTTCCGGGTTCTAGGCGATTCTTCCGTCTCAGCCTCCGGAGTAGCTGGATAGCTGGGATTACCACCACAACCGGCTAATTTCTTTTTCTTTTTCTTTTTTTTGAGATGGAGTCTCGCTCTGTCACCCAGGCTGGAGTGCAGTGGCGCGATCTCCGCTCACTTCAACCTCCGCCCCCTTGGTTCCAGGGATTCTCCTGCGTCAGCCTCCCAAGTAGCTGGGACTACAGGCATGTGCCAACACATGCGGCTAATTTTTGTGTTTTTTAGTAGAGACAGGTTTCACCCTATTGCCTGACCTCGTGATCTGCCCACCTCGGCCTCCCAAAGGTTTGCTTACAGGCCTAAGCCACCACGCCCAGCCCTAACTTTTTTTTTTTTTGAGACAGAGTCTTGCTCTGTCACCCAGGCTGGAGTGCAGTGACGCAATCTCGCCTCACTACAACCTGATCATGGGTTCATGTGATTCTCCTGTCTCAGCCTCCCTAGTAGCTGAGACGACAGGCACGTGCCACCACGCCTTGCTAATTTTTGTATTTTTAGTAGAGACAGGGTTTCACCACATTAGCCAGGATGGTCTCGATCTCCTGCCTCATGATTCGCCTGCCTCGGACTCTCAAAGTGCTGGGATTATAGGCATGAGCCACCGTGCCCAGCCCTTAATTTTGTATTTTGGGTAGAGATGAGATTTTACCATGTTGGCCAGGCTGGTCTCAAACTCCTGACCTTAGGTGATCCACCCACCTCCGCCTCCCAGAGTGCTGAGATTAGAGGTGTGAGCCACAGTGCCTGGTGACATTCCTTTTAAAGCTAAAAGAAGGCTCAGCATTGGCCGTGGTGGCTCATACATGAAATTCCAGCACTTCGCTTTGAACCCGGGAGGCAGAGATTGCAGTGAGCCAAGATCGAGCTATTGCACTCCAGCCTGGAGGACAAAAGACTTCATCTCAAAAACAAAATAAAAACAAACAAACAAAAAGGCTCAACATAATTAAGAAACAATAGTTGGAGGCAGTGGCTCATGCCTGTAATCCCAGCACTTTCGGAGGCCGAGGTGAGTGGATCATGAGGTCAAGAGTTCAAGATCAGCCTGGCCCAAATGGCGAAACATTGTCTCTAAAAATACAAAACTTAGCTGTGTGTGGTGGCGGGTGCCTGTAATTCCAGCTACTCAGGAGGCTGAGGCAGGAGAATCGCTTGAACCCGGGAGGCGGAGGCTGCAGTGAGCCAAGATTGAGCCACTGCACTCCAGCCTGGGCGACAGAGCGAGACTCTGTCTCAAAAAACAAAAAAGAGAAGTATAATATTGATCTCTCCCTCTCTCTCCTGCTACTGCTACATCTACATAGAGCCCCATTTCCTTTTTTATAATTGTGGTCAAACTTACATAGCACGAACATTTCCACTTTAACCATTTTTAAACGTTCAACTCTGTGGCACTAAGTACATTCACGCTGTTGTGCCACCATCACCACCATCCGTCTCCAGGACTCTCATCTTCCCAAACAGAAACTCTATACCCATTAAGCTACAGCCCTCATTCTTCCCTCCCCCTCCCCCTGCTGATTTCAGATCTACTTTTTGTCTGTCTGAGTTTGCCTCTTCTAGGTACCTCATAAAAGTGGAATCAAATGGCATTTGTCCTTTTGTGTCTGGCTTATTTCACCTAGCATAATGTCTTCAGGTTTCATCCATGTTGTAGAAGATTTTTGAAATTAATTTAAAGATAATTAACAATTAAAACCTATTGGCTGGGCGAGGTGACTCACACTTGTAAACCCAGCACTTTGGGAGGCCAAGGTGATTGGATCACCTGAGGTCAGGAGCGAGAGACCAACCTGGCTAACATGGTGAAACCCCTGTCTCTACTAAAAATACAAAAATTAGCTGGGGGTAGTGGGAGGCACCTGTAATCCCAGCTGAGGCAGGAGAATCACTTGAACCCGGGAGGCAGAGGTTGCAATGAGCTGCACTCCAGCCTGGGCAACAAGAGCAAGACTCCATCTCAAAAAAAACAAAACTGTTAAGACCTACTAAAAGTAGTACAGGCCAGGCACAGCCCTGGAATTCCAGCATTTTGGGAGCCTAAGGTGGGTGGATGACTTGAGCCCAGGGGTTCTCAAGACCAGTCTGGGCAACATGGCGAAACCCCATCTCTACAAAAATTACCCAGCTGTGGTAGAGCATGCTTATAGTCCCAGCTAGTTGGGATGCTGAGGCAGGGATATTACCTGAGCCCAGGAGTTGGAGGTCAGCCTGGGCAACATGGAGAGACCCCCCCCATCGCTAAAAAAAATAAAATAAATTTAAAATGAAATATAAAAAGTGGTACACAATCTATTTCTTAAAAACAATGAAAATATCTTTTAATAAGCTATGAATAGAGAGATACTTACTTGATAGGAGATTCTTACCAGAGTGTGACCATAATCAGTCTTTTTAATTTTTTCAAGACAGGGTCTCCCTCTGTCACCCAGGCTGGAGTGCAGTGGTGGGATCTCAGCTCACTGCAACCTCAACCTCCCAGGCTTAAGCAAACATCTCACCTCAGGCTTCTAAGCTGGGACTATAGGCAAGTGCCACCATGATTAGCTAATTTGTATATATTTTTTAGAAATGGGGTCTTGCTATGTTGCTCAGGCTGATCTCAAACTCCTGGGCTCAAACAGTCCTACCTCAGTCTCCCAAAGTTGTAGTATTACAAGCATGAGCCACTGTGCCCCACCCATAGTATTTCTATAAGACATCTAAAAATTGGCAGGTGAGGTGGTGGCTCACGCCTGTAATCCCAGCACTTTGGGATGCTGAGGAGGGCGGACCACCTAAGGTCAGGAGTTTGAGACCAGCCTGACTGATATGAAGAAACCCCGTCTCCACTAAACATACAAAATTAGCTGGGCGTGATTGCACCTGCCTGTAATCCCAGCTACTTGAGAGGCTGAGGCAGGAAAATTACTTGAACCCGGGAAGGCGGAGATTGCGGTGAGCCAAGATCACGCCACTGCACTCCAGCCTGGGCAACAAGAGTGAAACTCAGTCTCAAAAAAATATATATTTCTAAAGATTATAATATAAAACTTATATTAATATCCCCCAACATAACACCATTTTTATTATCTGTGTCCCCTCCATCTGTCACCGCCCCTCGTGGGGACCCCTCGGCTTCCCCAACCCGGTCCCTGTGCTGCAGGCATCACCCTGCAGGTGGCTGTTGCCTCACCCGGTCCCCGATCCTTGTGCACTTGAATTGGGTTGAGTCTAGATCCTCTGTCCTCTGGGACCTCAGCCCCAGCAAGAGCCTGACTCTGACAGAAACTCCTTGCCCAGAAGTCCCTGCAGGACACGGGCTCCTGGTGTGGGTCAGGTCAGCTCCCGCTGCTGGCACTCTCACCAAGGCCACCCTAGCATCCTCTGGGCGAGTGAGAGGCTGAAGGCCCTCACCAATCAGGACCCCTCAGTTTGCAGAAGGGGAAACTCAGGTCAGGCGTGGTGACTCATGCCTGTAATCCCAGCACTTTGGGAGGCCGAGGGGGTGGATCGCCTGAAGTCATGAGTTCGAGACCAGCCTGGCCAACATGGTGAAATCCCATCTCTAATAAAAAAGTATGAAAAATTAGCCTGGTGTGGTGGCAGGTGCCTGTAATCCCAGCCACTCGGTAGGCACAGGCAGGAGCATCCCTTGAACCCAGGCGTCGGAGGTTGCAGTGAGCCGAAATCACACCAATGCACCCCCGCTTTGGTAACAAGAGTGATACTCTGTCTTAAGGGAGGAAAAAAAGGGAAACTCAGGCTCCAGAGTTGCACACATCAGCCCCATCAGCTTAGAGGATGGGACAGGGGAGAGCTGGAGGCCGTCCAGCTTGGGCCTTAGAATCTGTGCCCATGGGCAGAGTGACTCGAGCAGGTCGCCTTGCCTCTCTGGCCTCTATCCCCGTCTGCACAGTGGGGATCACAGCAGGACCTGCCTATCGGGCCACAGAGACGGGGGTTCTGCCTCTAAAATAATGATCGCCTGTGCGGTATAACATGCACCAGTGATGGCTGGGCACGGTGGCTCACGCCTGTAATCCCAGCACTTTGGGAGGCCAAGGTGGGTGGATCATGAGGTCAAGAGATCGAGACCATCCTGGTCAACATGGTGAAACCCCGTCTCTACTAAAAACACAAAAAATTAGCTGGGCATGGTGGCATGTGCCTGTAATCCCAGCTACTCAGGAGGCTGAGGCAGGAGAATTGCCTGAACCCAGGAGGCGGAGGTTGCGGTGAACCGAGATGGCGCCATTGCACTCCTGCCTGGGTAACAAGAGCGAAACTCCGTCTCAAAAAAAACATGGACCAGTGATGAACAAGTTGTTGTGTCCCAGATGGTCATAAATGAACCCAGATGCTTGGTGGTTTGTCCCAAGGACCTGGGTGGCAGGGACCTCCCACCACACGAAGAGGCGGCAAGGGCTGAGGTCACACGGGGAGATATGGCATCCCCAGACCCTCCCCTGGGCTTTTCCTTTGGAGGCACCTGCACCCTGGAGAAGCTTGGATCTCCTAGGGGCTGGTCCCAGAAGGCAATGCTGGCTGAGTTCTAGTGACCCAGGGACTCCAGGAAAGGCCCCACACACATCAGCTGGAGCTTCAGGGAGTGGCCCTGCCCGGTGAGGGTGGGAGTGCACAGGTGACATAGGCCAGGGGGAAAAGAGGAGGGAGAAAGGAGGAGGTGGGGAGTACATCTGGGCACCCTTCAAGGACAGCGGCCACCATCCGCTGTGGACATCCTGCCCCTGCCTCCATTCTTGCCCTACCCCAAGGACTAGGAGGAGGTGAGAGAGATATTGGTCTTGGTGCCAAATGTAAGTGGGGGAGGGGAGCACACAGAAATCTCATGAATCAAGACATAATATTTTAATATAACATTAAGCAATAAAAATTAGTTAAAAGAAATCCATCATGGACAAAATATCAACCCTTTAGTTAAAGCCAGTGTCAGGCTGGGCATGGTGGCTTATGACTGTAATCCCAGCACTTTGGGAGGCCAAGGTGGGTGGATCACCTAAAGTTGGGAGTTTGAGACCAGACTGACCAACATGGAGAAAATCTGTGTCTACTAAAAATACAAAATTAGCGGGGCGTGGAGGTGCATGCCTGCAATCCCAGCTACTCAGGAGGCTGAGGGAGGAGAATCACTTCAACTGGGGAGGTGGAGGTTGCAGTGAGCCATTGCAGATGGCATCATCGCACTCCAGCCTGGGCAACAAGATCAAAGCTCCATCTCAAAAAAAAATAAAAGGCAAATGTCTCTCTGGCTCCCCTCCAGGGGTTAACCTTCCTCCTCACCTCTCTGGCTTGTCTCTCCTTGGTCACCCTTTCCTGTCCCCCAACATCCCCTGGAATTTCTCGCCTCTTACCTGCCCCACCGGCTCCTCAGGCTGGACCGGCTGCTTCCTCCAGGGGCTCCAGGGCCCAGGGCCCGGCTCTGCAGTGCAGCCATTGGGTGCAGCAGGCCATGGCTTACCACAGCCAGACCCAGCAACAGCAGGGGCCAGCGCTGCCTGGGGTCGGCGCCTGGCTCACCAGGGGCCTCATGGCCCCTCTGGCCTGTCCCAGGCCTCATCGGCCCTCAGGGTCAGAGGCCCTGTGGCCTGACTTGCAGCGTGGCCTCCCTGGAGAGTGGTGCCCTGGTTCCTTTTGCTGGCAGCAGCTGTCCCAGTGCACCCAGCCCATGTGGCCCCGTCCGAATCCTCTGATCCCTGCCCCCAGACCAGCCCCTTCCAGGGTCCATGGCCGTTGCCCCTGCGTACAGAGGCACATCTGCCAACCGCCCTGCTGTGGTCGGATCCAGGGCTCAACTGCCCCTCACCACAGCTGTCAGCTTGGCCTTGCCCCTGGGGCCCTGGGTGCTTTGTTCAGGGACCTCCCACCAGAGGCAGAGTGGCGGCAAAGGCTGAGGTCACACAGGGAAGTGGGCTGCACCATGGCCCCCCAAGACCCTCCCCTAGGCCTTTCCTTTGGAGGCACCTGCACCCTGGATGGGCTTGGGTCCCGGTCCCAGGAGGTGATGCACCTGACTTTCCTCCTTCCCCACTTCCTCTAGGGCGTCCTGGGTCTGTGGAACATCCTCCTTGGGGTCCAGAGACCTGCCCTGTAGGAGTCCCCCAGGGCTTGAACTCAGGGGGCCTGGGTGGGCTCTTCCAACCAGCCCTGGAGGGAGGGGTGGTGAGAGAGGAGGAAACAGTTTGAGTTTAGCCAGAAGTCACTCACGATTCAAGTCAAGGAATCAGGAGGTAAGAATGAAAATGATGGTTAAGGCACCATGTTCAGCACCTCACACCTCACATCACACAGACACACAAACACACACACACAGACACAGACACACAGAGACACACATACAGAGACACACAAACACAGAGAAACACACACACACAGAGAAACACACGGAGACACACATACACAGAGACACACAGAGACACACACACACAGACACACACAGACACACACACAGAGACACAGAGACACACATACACAGAGACACACACAGAGACACACACACAGACACACACAGAGACACACACACAGACACACACAGAGACACAGACAAACACACACACAGACACACATACAGAGACACAGAGACACACAAACACAGAGACACACAAACAGAGACACACACACAGAGACACACACACAGAGACACACATACAAAGAGACACACAAACACAGAGACACACAGAGACACGGAGACACACACACAGACACACACAGAAACACATTACAAACAGAAACACCACTCGCCCTTCTAAAGGTATAATCGACAAATAAAATTGTATATATTTACCATCTACAATGTGACGTTTTGTCACACTGTAAAATTATTAAATCAAGCTGATTCCCACATCTGTCACCTCACAGACTTGTGCTTTTGTAGTGAGAACATGGAAGATCTAATCTTAGCAATTTTCCAGCGTATAATACATTATTATTATTATTTATTGGTTTATTTTTTTTTGAGATGGAGTCTTGCTGTGTCGCCAGACTGGAGTGCAGTGGCATGATCTCAGCTCACTGCAACCTCTGCCTCCCTGCTTCAAGTGATTCTCCTGCCTCAGCCTCTCGAATAGCTGGGACTACAGGCGCGGGCCACCATGCCCAGCTAATTTTTGTATTTTTTTTTTTTTTGGAGATGGAGTTTCACTCTTGTTGCCAGGGCTGGAGTGCAATGGTGCAATCTTGGCTCACCACAAACTCTGCCTCCCGGGTTCAAGTGATTCTCCTGCCTCAGCCTCCCAAGTAGCTGGGATTACAGAAGTGTGCCACCACCCCCAGATGATTTTTTGTACTTTTAGTAGAGACAAGTTTTCTCCATGTTGGTCAGGCTGATCTCGAACTCCCAACCTCAAGTGATCCGCCCACCTCAGCCTCCCAAGTAACTGGGATTACAGGCACATACCACCACACCCGGCTAATCTTGTATTTTTAGTAGAGACAGGGTTTCTCCATGTTGATCAGGCTGGTCTTGAACTCTCGACCTCAGGTGATCCTCCTGCCTCCGCCTCCCAAAGTGCTGGGATTACAGTCATGAGCCACCATGCCCAGCCCATCTTGACCGTTTTTAAGTGCACAGTTCAGCAGTATTAACTCCATTCACAGTGTCATGCAGCTATCACCACCATCCATCTCCAGATCATTCACTTCTTTTTTTGAGGCAGTTTCACTCTTGTTGCCCAGGCTAGAAAGCAATGGCACAATCTCGGCTCACTTCAGCTTCTGCCTCCTGGGTTCGAGTGATTCTCCTGCCTCAGCCTCCCGGCCAGGGGGATCTACAGGTGCCTCCCATCATGCTTGGCTAATTTTTTTGGATTTTTTTTTTTTTTTTAACCATGACATTTTATTTGATTTCTTAGCTGTAGCTTTTCCATTCAGAAATTGGAGACTGTCTTTTCATTGAGTTGTTAGTCCCTCCTCTTCCCCTAGAGCTTAGGGATATGTTGAAAAAGGGTTTTCAACAAGTTTTTTTTTTATTTTTACAAGTTGTTATGAAATTAAAATTTCATTTATATATCTCAAGTGTTTATAAAGCACTCAAAATTGTAGCTTACATGTATATGACTTCTGAAAATAAAAATCACACTTTTAACAATCTTTCCACTCTGTAAAAATTTTCTACATATGTGCATATGATCAACGCAATCTTTTCATGTTTGGGATATTTCTTACACATAGTAAAAACAATTTTATCTACTTTCGCATGTTTAGATAACTGAGTGCCACCTAGTGTTCAATTTCTGTAACTACTAAGCTTACAAATTAATTGCTATTAAAACCCAAGTTCTGAAAACTGCATTTTGGAAATGCATGTCAAAAAAATGCACTTTTTTGACATGATTATGGTGGCAAAATACGATTTTGAAAAGAATACGATATCAAAATCAGTATAAAAATAGCCACAGACTACTTAAATATGACAAGACTTATTTTTTACTTCAAATGCACATTTCTGCCTCCCTCAAATTGTATCAAAATCTAAAGGGAATACCTAGGTAATTGGAATATACACAATGCTCTATACAATCAAGAGGCCAGGCTTAATCATATTCCATAACGAGGACAAGGCAAATTATTTCTTTAAAACATCCATTTTCTTATTGGAAGTGGTAGGAAAAGCAGCAATCTATTTTTTTTTTTAATTAGTAGACGTGGTCTTCTACCCATAAGCTCCACTATATTAAAAGAGCGAAGTGGGCTTAACATCTCACTTAAGATAATTCAGCATTACCAGTTTTAAAAGAAATAAAAATACCTTAGGAACAAATCAGTCTGTTTTAACAAACTGTATTCATGCTAATGAAATTTTAATCTTCTTTGTCATGGCCAAAATCCAAATTGTAGGGCAATCTTGAGAAAGATGGAATGTGAAATCTTGAGTTCAGTTTAGATGTCGTCAATATCTTCATCATCATCTCCAATGTCATCGAACTGAATTTCATCATCATCTCCCGGACCAAATGTATCCGTTTCATTGACTTTAGCATGCTCTGGAAGCTCGCCATATGCCTTCAGACTTCTGGCTTCGTCTGCATTGTATTTTAAAATTACATCCGCTTTGTTATCCTGGTAGTCTCGGAGACCAACCAATATTATGTCGGAGGTATTTATCCAAACCTTTTTTCTCAATTTTCCTCTGATGTGACATAACCTCTTTACACCATCGAAACACATTGCTTCTAGCCGTCCATTTCCCAACATTTTGATCACCTGAGCATACTCCTGACCATCTTCTTTGAATACTAGTTCTCTTTTTTCAGATTCATTCTCATTCTTACCTCTACGTCTGTTTTTACCTCCTTTACCTTTATTCTTGGGCATGGCGGTGGCAGCGACCTCGCAGCGTCTCTGACTTCTTTCCGGGTGGCGGCGGTCGCGGCGGCTGCTGCTCCGAAGGGCGACACGAGAGAGAGCGCAGGATGAAGCAGGTGATGGAGGCCAGGCAGCGTGCGCGCGAGAAGCTCGCGACCTAGGTCTTAACCGCCCGCGTCCACGCTCAGCAGCAGCAAAATCAATTTTTTGGATTTTTAATAGAGATGGGCTTTCACCATGTTGACCAGGCTGGTCTCAAACTTTTGACCTCAGGCAATCTGCCCATCTCAGCCTCCTAAAGTGCTGGAATTACAGGCGTGAGCCACCACACAGCCGATTATCATTATCATTTTCATGATCATTACCAGCTGGCGCAGCTGGTGTGGCCTGGAAAAGGGTGTTAATCATCATGAAATAAATAAATCCTTGATGATACTGAGCTTCAACGGCCACTCTTCACATTTTGCATGGCAGCTCATAAAGGGTGTGAAATTCATTCCAACAGCTGCAACCAGCTATTGAAGTGAGGCAGCCTAGAGCCGACTCCAGCTGGAGAGTGAGCCGTTCAAGGGGAGGGATGGTGAGGGTTCCTGGAATGTTGCTTCAGTTATCTAAATGCATAGATATGCTCTGGGTAATGATGGAAGATCTACTTCTTGCTAGAAGTTTGGATGGAAAATCTTTTGAAAAATGCTGTCCTGGGACATGTGGCCCAGTTGTCAAATCCCCTCTTGCACTTCCCCAGTGGCTGATCTGCTGTCACGTTTGAAGCCACCCTTTCCCTTAGGTCCTCTGTATCCCTGTCCGCACCACCAGGTGTGTCCCTGGGGACAGTGCCATCTGATTGCTTGTCCAGCTCTGTCAGGCTCTCCCCAGCTTCCCCCCAAGTTTTTTTTTTTTTTTTTTGACAGAGACTTGCTCTTGTCACCCAGGCTGGAGTGCAATGGCATGATTTTGGCTCACTGCACCCTCTGCCTCCGGGGTTCAAGCAATTCTCTTGCCTCAGCTTCCACGTAGCTGGGATTACAGGTGCCCGATACCACACCTGGCTAATTTTTGTATTTTTAGTAAAGACGGGGTTTTGCCGTGTTGGTCAGGCTGGTCTCGAACTCCTGACCTTGTGATCCACCCACCTTGGCCTCCCAAAGTGCTGGGATTACAGGCATGAGCCACCGTGCCTGGCCAATAGTTTTGCTTTTTTACTTTTTATTTTTATTTTTTGAGACGGAGTCTCGCTCTGTCACCCAGGCTAGAGTGCAGTGGCGCAATCTCAGCTAACTGCAACCTTCGCCTCCCCAGGTTGTCAACTGCAACCTTCGAGTGATTATCCTGGTCTGAGCTAATTTTTTTTGTATTTTTAGTAGAGACAGGGTTTCGCCATGTTGGTCAGTCTGGTCTCGAACTCCTGACCTCAGGTGATCCACCCACCTTGGCCTCCCAAAGTGCTGGGATAACAGGTGTGAGCCACTGTGCCTGGCCGCTTCCCCCAAGTTGAGTTTCCTGGGTGCCACATGCTCGTCCTGGAGTTGGGCCATCTTGCACATCCCCTTGGTATCTGGCCAGCCATGGTTGTGGAATGCCATAAGAGACAAACAGACAGACAGACAGGAAGACTTCACCTTATCTCATGGAGATCATGAGAGCCACAGTGAGGTCAGGCTGTATGGACTGATGTTCAGATCCCAGCATCCCACAAACACTGAGAGTCCCCTGAGGGCCAAAGGCTGCATCCCAGAGAGCTCACGGTCTTGGGGAGATGGGCAAGGTGCTGAGCAGTAATGGCATGTGGATGCCAAGAAACACTGATGCAGGTACAGGGGAGACCCCTGATCCAGCCCAGCTTCTCGCTGGTTGGGAGGGTTGGCCCACCACTGCCCCTGACTCTGGCTCCTCTCACCTTGAGGGCTGGAGCAGCATCTACCCTGGGGCTGGGCTGAAGCTGCTCCCTCCCCAGCACGCCTCTTGAGTGTGACGCTCATCATTGCCCGGGACTCAGAAACTGTGGTTCCCCCAAGGACAGCCCCAGGTCTTGGGAGAAGGGACTGTTTTTAAATATAGTGTCCCGCTGCTCCCTTTCGGCCCCCGCCTGACCCTGCACCTGCTACGGCCTCTAGACAGAGGCAGCCTCAGACCACATATTTCTGTGGTGGGAAATCTGGGTCTGGCTGATACTGGGAACCCTTGAGGGCTGGGCGGGGCCTCTCCAGCAGGCACAGCTGCAGCTCTAACCCCCCAGGTCCACCTCACCCCTTCCTGCACTGAGACCTGTGAGGGCTCGATGCAGGTCTGGGCAGGGGAGGCTGCGTCCTGCTGTCCTGCTCAGTGGCCTCCCTTTTTTAGGGTTCCTGGTGCCTCTGCAGAGCCCTCTGTGTCCTGCCTGGCCCGCCTCTCTCAGAGCACAGGTGAGTGCCACATCCACCAATTACCTCTAGGTGGTGGGCTCATCATTGTTGAGTTTTAAATGTTACCTAATTTTGGCCAGGTGTGGTGGCTCACGCCTGTAATCCCAACACTCTGTGAGGCCAAGGCGGGCAGTTCACGAGACCAGCCTGACCAATCTGGAGAAACCCTGTCTCTACTAAAAATACAAAAATTAGCCAGGTGTGCTGGCAGGCACCTGTAATCCCAACTACTCGGGAGGCTGAGGCAGGAAAATTGCCTGAACCTGGGAAGTGGAGATTGCAGCCAGCCGAGATCACACCACTGCACTCCAGCCTGGGTGACAGAGCAAGACTCCGTCTCAAAAAAAAAAAAAAAAAAAAAAGTTACCTAATTTTGTATTTTTGAATTTTCCAACTGTTGGCTAATTTAGCAGTTTCTTTCCTCCCTCCCCCCTTCCCTCTCTTTCTCTCTCTCCCCTCCTTTGCTTCCCTTCTCTCTCCTTTCCCCTTTCCTTTCCTTCTCTTCCCTCTCCCTCCTCCTCCCCCTTGGGGCTCTTTCTTCTTCCCCCTACTCCCCTTCCCCTCTCCACCCCTCCTCTCCCCTCTCCTCCCCTCCCCTTCCCTTCTTTCTGTTTTAGAGACATGGTCTTGCGCTCTCAGCCAAGCTGGAGTGCAGAGGTGCGATGAGAGCTGACTGCAGCCTCCAACTCCTAGGCTCAAGCAGTCTTCCCACTTCAGCCTCCCAAGTAGCTGGGACTAGAGGTACATGGCCCCACACCTGGCTAAATTTTGTTAAATGTTTTGCTAAGGGATAGGGTCTTGCTATGTTGCCCAGGCTGGTCTCAAGCTCCTGAACTCAAGTGATCCACCTGCCTTGGCCTTTGGAAGTGCTGGGATTACAGCCACCATGCCCAGCCTAGCTGCAGCTTTCTTAATTTCCAAATATATGAGGATGTTCTAGTTATATATTTGGTTTAGGGAGATATTTTGTGGATTTTTTTTTTTTTTTTGAGACAGTCTCACTATCACCCAGGCTAGAGTGCAGTAGTGTGATCATGGCTCACTGCAGCCTCCAACTCCTAGGCTCAAGCTGTCCTCCCACCTCAGCCTCCCGAGTAGCTAGGACTACAGGCACATGCCACCACATCCAGCTACTTTCTTTTTTTACTTTTTATAAAGACAGGTTCTCACTATGTTGCCCAGGCTGGTCTCAAACTTCTGGTTTCAAATGATCCTCCTTCCTTGGCCTCCTAAAGTTCTGGGATGGCAGGGATGAGCCACTGCGTGCCTGGCCATATCTATGTTATCGATTTCTAGTTTAACTGTATGTGTTTAGGGCACATGCTCTGAATAATTTTAGGACTTTGAAATTTGCCTTATGGAGACTTGTTTTATAACTGGATATTTAGTTAATTTGTGTCAATGATTCTCGTCTGTGTTTGTCTTTGAAGAGAGTATATACTCTAACTCTTGAATGCGTTGTTTCCATACTAGGTACTCACTATTGTCTTTCAACCTTCTCTTACTTTTTCTTTTTAGGGTTAGTTTATTTGTTTTGTATTCTGAGAAGGCGATCATCTCTGTCAGGGACTGTGAATTTCTTTATTTGTCCCCGTAGCTCGATAGTTTTTGGTTTCATGTTTTCTGAAACTACATTTTAGGTGTATACAGATTTAAAACTGTTGGTCTGGTTGGTGGCTTATGCCTATAATTCGATCATTTTGTGAGGCCAAGGCAGGAGGATCACTTGAGCCCAGAAGTTTGAAACCAGCCTGGGAAGCAGGGTGAAACCTAGTTAAAATTAAAAACTAGTTAGGTATGGTGGCTTGCACCTGTAGTCCCAGCTGCTTGGGAGGCTGAGGTGGGAGGATCACCTGAGCCCAGGTCTAGCCTGCGATGAGCCATGATCACACCACTGCACTCCAGCCTGGGCAACAGAGTGGGACCTTGTCTCAAAACAAAACCAAAAAATACTTATGACCTCCTGATGAGGTAAATCTTTTCTTCTTTTCTTTATGAGACTGAGTTTCGCTCATGTCGCCCAGGCTGGAGTGCAATGGCACATTCTTGGCTCACTGCAACCTCCACCTCCCAGGCTCAAGCGATTCTCCTGCCTCAGCCTCCAGAGTAGCCGGGATTACAGGCAAGTGCCACCACACCCGGCTAATTATTGTATTTTTAGTAGAAACGGGATTTCACCATATTGGCCAGGTTCGTCTTGAACTCTTGACCTCAGGTGATCCACTCATCTCAGCCTTCCAAAGTGCTGGGATTACAGGCATGACCTACCACACCCAGCCAAAATAATTTTTTTTTTTTTTGAGACAGAATCTTACCCTGTTGCCCAGGCTGGAGTGCAATGGTGTGATCTTGGCTCACTGCAACCTCTGCCTCCCACGTTCAAATGATTCTCCTGCCTCAGCCTCCCAAGTAGCTGGGATTACAGGCACCCACCACCACATCCAGCTAATTTTTGCATTTTTAGTAGAGATGGCCTTTTGCCATGTTGGCCAGGCTAATCTCGAACTCCTAACCATGTGATCCAACTGCCTTGGCTTCCCAAAGTGCTGGGATTACAGGCGTGAGCTACCGTGCCCAGTCGAAATAAAACTTTTATTAGCATTAAATAGCCCTATTGATTCCAGATGATACCTTTTACCTTAAATTTTCTTCTATCTGATATCTATATAACTACACCAGTTTTCTTTTGAGTAGGAATTTCATGTATCTTTCTCCATCTGTTTACTTTCAGCCATTCTCTATCCTAGCCCCCCATACTTGCACGTGGGAGCTCTTCTCTAAAAGACTTAAATGTGCCCTTATATT